AGAAAGGAATTAAAATAAGAAGTAATGAAATGGTTTCAAAGGTATTTAATGAAACATTTGATAAAATGAAAATAGAAGAATCACTTTATCCAAGTGAAATGATAACTTATGTGTCAAATAATGTTAATGGAATTAAAGCTCGAGAGAATAAAAATATCATTCTCATTTATGAAAGAGAAATTCCTATTAAACAAGAAAAAGAAATAGATATACCAAAAGGAATTACAATTTATTCTTCAAGTATAGTTTTGTCTGAACAAAACAATGAAAGAAATATTAAATTTTTTAAATCACCAAGTAGTTCATTATTTTCAAATACAAAAATAACATCATTTAATCCAACTAGTGGTAATGATGGATGTGGTATTAGAGTTAATATTGAAGATATGAATAAAGAAGAAAATAGAAAGTATACAAGATTCTTAATGACTTTTATGTAGATTCAATTACATGTTATAAAACGTTATTACCAGACTTTGTTCTAAATCAAAAAATCAAATTACATGAAATACCACAATTACCTGAATATATCAAATACCTTTATGTTCAAACAAGAGATTCAAATATTATAATAAATCAACAACATATTGAATGTTTAGAAATGAATTATATCAATTCTTCAATTGAATTTCTATCAGTAAATAATTTAAAACATATAAAACTACATGGAAAAGGAATAAAAATAAATGAAATGAAAGAAAAACAATGAACCACAACCAATAAAAGAAGATATTGGAAAGAAATACAAGAAAATATAACCACATTCCAAAATGTTGAAGAAATTCAATTACGTAGTTGTTGTAATTTACATATTAATTTAGTAGCAAATAAATTAAAAAAATATTGACATGAATAATTGTGTAGAAAGTCAAATTAGTGTTAAAACAGAAAGTATTGAAAGAATGAAATTAGAAGATAATAAACAAACACAATTCAAATTAACAACAAACAAATCATCTGATATTTGTATTGAAAAATGTGAGAATTTCAAAATTGAAATCGAATCAAACAATGAACAAAACATTGATATAATAGAAGGAAATAATATTGAATTTAAAACAAAGTGTCCAATTAATAAATTAACAATTATTGAATCTAAAGAAGTGAATATCAGAAGAAATGAAAAATGTAAATCATTGAAAGTAGTTGAGTCTACAATCAATGAAAATGATGTTAAACCAAAGAAAATTGTCTTTAAATCAATTGAAGAATATATTAAAATACCACTGAAAGAAGCAGAAGAGATATATATTGTGTCAATGAAAGATTATATTTTTGAAGAGTTATTTGATAAATGTAAGAAATTATATATTGATGAATGTGAGAATTGCCAATTCATAATTAAGAAGAATGAAAATAATGAAATGAAAATAACAAGATGTAAAAATACAGAAAATACAGGGAAATTAGATAGTCTTGAAGAAATCATTACAATAGATAATGAAGAATGTAGTATTCCAGAAACAAAGAAGAATATAAAAGAAGATAGAGAAATAATAGATATGAATAATGAAAAGAAAGACATAGAAATAGAAACAGACAAGAAACATGTTATAATAAGAAATGCATATGACAGTCGTATTAAAATTCAAAGTGACATTAATAGTGATATAACAATAGAAAATAGTGAAAATATAATAATTGAAGGAGAATATGAAGAATATGGAAATGTCAAAATGGTTAAATGTAAAAATCATAAAGAAAAACGAGATATTGGATATGAAACTTACACAAAAATTGGATGTGCAAGATCATTATTACTTAACAAATGTGAAAATATTGAATTTGAAATTTATGGAGATAAAAAGTCATTAGAAGTTGATAATAGTAAAATGGTAGGTATTTTAATAAGAAGAAGTTCACATAATACAGGTGTTGATATTGTACGTATTGAAAATTCAGAAATGTCTAATATCAGTTCAAGTGAGTTGTGTAACAAAGTACTTATAACTAATAGTAGTGGAATTGAAGACATTATCTATCGATGTAAAGACGAACTTGTATTGAAAAGAATGAATGACATTAGATTTAGAACAAATGAATAAATGAAGAGTGTAAAGGAATTAACATTGAGAAAGATGTTAAAGGAAAAGATGTTAAACTGATAAAATGTCAAAATATGAAGATAAATGATACATCAAATTGAATCAAACAGAATGAGTGTGATAATGTTGAAGTAATAACAGAACAAGAAAATGAAATGATGGGAGGATTTTGAATGGTTGGTGGTAATAACATGCTAATGGGAAGATTTAGAGGTTCATTTCTTAAATAAGAAAATCTGATAATGACCAATTTGATTAGTTTTTGATAAATTTGAATGTTTGAAATAACAAGATAGAAACAAACAACAAAGAGTGTTATGAAATGTGAATGATTAAATGAAATACAACAAAACAAATGAAATTGAATATAACTCTTTATTAACAGTTTTATTAATGATAGAATAAGTTAAAGATAATAGAAAATATTATCAATCAACATATAATTCAATTATGAATTTAATAACAATTATCTCAAATGAGAAATAACAGAAATAAAGTGAATGTTTCTAATGAAGAAATAAGTTAGAAAATAAGAATCAAAACAATGAAAAGAACAAATGATAATTAATGGATTGTAAATGTTCTACACCAATATGCTTTCCAAAATTAATATTTCTTTTCTATTCTTTATTTCTTTCTCAATAATACCTTCTCTATCACATCAAACTATATACAACTCATTATATACAATATAATACAAATTATCTGTTTCTTTAATTGCATAAACACCTCTTTCACAAAAACTCTCTTGAACATCAACACAATTCACAATACATACAAATCTTTTATGTTTAAACAAAGGAGTAATGTTTTGTTTTAATCAATTATTATTCAAATCATATGAATGAACAAAACTATCTAACAATGAATTATTCAATTTAATACTTTAAAATAATATTCTAAATATTCATATAACAATGATACATCACAACAGAATTAATTATAAAATGTATAATTAACATTTATTAATTATTTAATATTCATAACATTATTTGTTTTCTCTTCTTCATTTCAATTAATTCATATTGATTATTTTCTTTTCTTTTCAATTATTATGATTTGTTTTGATGCAAAATTATATTTTTACAAAAATGTATTTAATATTCTTAATATTCATTTGAATATTAATGACAATGTTATTTTATCATTTTCTTTATAAACTTGAATACCACTATATCCAAATTTAAATAAACATGTGATTGATTAAATAAATAAAATGCATATTGTTGTTTAATATCAAATTTATTCATTCCTTTCATTCTTCAATTTGTTTCTAATGAAAATAAAAGTGATTTTGAATCATTTATCCATTTACCAACTTTATCAATTTTAGAATTAACATATCCTCCAAATTTATTTCATTAGGATTCTTCAATAATAATTATTATATGTTTTTTATTCCATATTCTTTCTCCAAATACTGATGTATTAATATTTTAATCATTGGTATCTGAATCAAATAGTATATTAGATATTTTTCTGTATATTTTTCTATTTGTTGAATTAAAAATTCTTTTAAATTTAGTTTAATTTCTTATCTTTTGAATTATAAATGTTTTGAGTATTTTTTATTTTTTATGAATTTATTTGAGGGTGTATTTTTTGTTCTTCTTTACTTTGTTTTATTCAATATAGTTTTTCGTTTTGAGTGAAAATTTCATTCTGATTTTTTATTCTATTAAATTTTTAATTATTTCTTCATTTATATTCATTCTTTGATTTTTATGAAGATTGTCTTGTGTCATTATTTCATAAATGAAATATTTCTTGTATTAGATTCAATGAAAGTGTTGTTTTTATTCATTTTATCATATAATTCTGTGGTTTATTTCTTCTATTATTTCGTTTAATGTTTTTGTTGTAGATTATTCATTTCATTCTCTAATATTTGTATTTGTTTCTTTATTAATTATGTATTTTGAAGATGGTATTTATATTGTATGTTTTATTTCATTTATTTTCTTTATCATGTTGATTTTATAATTCTTCCTTTATTTTATTATTTCATTCATGAACTTCTCCTTCTTATTTATGTGTTATTTCTTTTATATTGTTGTTTATTACATTCATTCAATTCATTGTTATTTTCATTCCACTCAATCATTTTAATTTCATCTTTACCATTTATAACTTATTCACATCTCTTATTGATTCTTTTCTGATTTATCTATTTCTTATTTTATTTATTTTATTTGATACTTTTATCTTGTCTTATTCTTTTCTTATTTTTTGTTGTTTCTTATTTTATCATTAATATTCTATTGTTTAATCTGTTGTATTATTGTAACTCAATATTCATTTGACAAATAAAATTGTTTTGTTTTGTTTCATTCTTCTTTTTGTTCTGTAATTCTTTATTATTCATTCCATCATTTATCACATCAAATATTTCAACAAAAACAATTAAATAAAATGTGTATGAATTGACATTATTATAATAATCAAAATACAATGTAAAATATTCATATCAACCAGAATAATAAAATGAACATGATACTGATTCATTGTATTGTACTAATATTGATTCAAACACACCATTGAATAAATCACTCAACTCATTTCTATTGTTGAAATTGTTCTTTTAATTATTTTGAACATTCATTAATTATTTAAACAATATGTATTATTTCTATTAATTTCTATGACTTTGTTATTTTCAAATAATTGTATTGAATAACCAAACAATAAATATAAATATTCTTCATATTTCTTAATGAAGAAGAATAGAAATGAGAGTGTTATTTTCAGAATTATCTTTTTGATTAATGATTAAATATTCATAAAAAATAATGTGTCAATCATTTATATTGTTACAATCAAATAAAATCAAAATGTGATAGAAATGAATATAAATAATGAAATATGTTGATATGAAATAGAATTGAAATTTCATGATAACTATATATTAAGTATTATTCAATTAAACAATTAATAAATAAAGTTAAATGTCATCAATTAGAAGAAAATAAATGTAAAAATGACAGAGAGAATAATAGAGATGCAAGATACACCATTAAGATTATGATTATTCAAATCATCATTTGTTTTATTCACATTATTTTCTGTTCCATTTGTTGTTTCATTTTTAATTGGTAAATGTGGTGATACTGTTTCATTTTGTTGGTTGTTTTGTTGGTTATTTGATGGTGGTTCATGTTGTGGATTATTTGATGGTGCTGGATTTGAATCTGGTGATTGGTCTGATTTTGCTGGTGTATTTGGTGTTGGATTAGTTGTTTCTGCTGGTGCTGGTTTACTTTGTTGACTATCTTGTTGTGGTGATGTGTTTGGTGTTGGATTAGGTGTTAATGATGGTGATGATTCAGGTTTTGAAACTGGTTGATTTGTATTTTGAGATGTTTGTTTTGTGTCTTGAGATGTTGATGGTTGAGTTGGGTGTGAATCAGACTTTGGTGTATCTTCTTTTGGCTTTTCTGATGCTGGGTTTTGTGCTGGTGAAGAGTCTGATGATGGAGATGATTGTGTAGGTGGTTCTGATGATGTTCCTTCTGGTTTTGTTGATTCTGGTTTATGTAACTTTCCATCCTGTGTTTGTGATGATCCTACTGATGATGGTTGTCCTGTCACACCATCTTGTGATGTTGGCTGTGGTGGTTTTTCTGAGTTTTTCCCTGATGCAACTGATGGTTCTGGAACTTCTGGCTTTCCGGAGGTTGGTAGTGTTTGTGTTGCTCCTTGTGATGTTTGTGTTGCTTCTGTATCTGTATGTGAATCTGTTCCTGAAGTACCTTGTTCTGTTGTTGATACTACAGATTCTGGTTTTTTTATTACTTCTGGTGTTTCTGTTTCACTCTTTAAAAGTGTATTAATCTCTGTTGCACTACTAAATACAATAATCAAGAGAAATAAAATCATTGAATGTATTAGATTTTAGTTTTGTTCTTAAATATAACTACTTCTTCATTTCTTGTTTTTTCATTTCATATTTGATTTTTGTCTTATTGATTTTTCTCATCATTTTTGTGTTGTTATTATTGGATTTATATTCTTCATTTGTTGATGAAATGATAAAATCGTGTAATTATTTTGATTGTTTTATTGATTTTCTATTTCTATTTTCTTTCATTGTGTGTTGAACAAAAATTGGAATGAGTAGAATCTTTTTAATTTCTGTTTATTTTTATTGTTATATATTTCGATTATATTTTATTGTCCATTCTTCTTTATTTTTATTCTTTTTATCATTTCTTGTTTGTTATTTTATATTTATTTCATTTTCATTTATTATGAAATGTTATTACTTGTTTACCATTTCTTATTATTCATTGTCATTTGTTGATTTTCTTATTATATCATATTCTTTAAATATAATTTGTTAATAATTCAGTGTTATTTATTATTTTCATTGTATTTCATATGCGATTGTATAATTATTGTGTTAAACTATTTTAAATTATCATTCATTCGATTTATTCAAATGATATTTTTAATTATTATCATCTTATTCATTCTTATTTTATCTATTGACTATTTCATTTGTATCTTTGAGTTCTATTTCATTTCTATTTCATTTTGATATGATTATTGTTGATAGTTAATTTAATAAACAATTTGAAAGTGTTTATTGTCTTTATATTATTATTTTAATTATTTATCTTTCTTCTTTTTATTTGATTTTTGTTTATCATTGAATATTCATTCTTTCTATATTCTTATTATTATTATTCTTCTGTTTCTATTATTATTCATAGAATACTATTAATTTGAACATTTCTTTTTAAAATACAATAATACTCATTGTTATATTCACATTCATTATTATTTCCACATCGTTCAATATCCATTATTAGTTGTGTTATTTCTTTTTCATTACATTTTATCATTAATTATCTTCTATTTCTTTTTCTGTATTTATTCTTTAACATAATATTTGATTCTCTTCTCATTTTAATCATTTTCAAATGTTATTTGTATTTTAATTCTTCATTATATTTCATTCATTATCATCATTCTATTATATATTTTGACAATACATTAGAATGGATTATGATATTAATCATTCTATATTTTAAGATACATGCTATTATTTGAAATAATTTCATTGATTATTAAACATAATAATAGACAATGAATTACATCAACATATTATTTTAATATTACTTCTCTTTCCATTTAAAATGGGGTTTCATTCTATTGTTTCATTACTTCAACATAAATTCATTAAAAATAAATAATTCAATTATCAAAGACATTATAAAATTGCATTATTACAATCAATGAACAAAAAGAAATACAAATTAGAAATAACAAATTATATAATTCTGATATTTGATTTACTCACTGATTATTAATAGTGAAAATAACATGATTATCTATTAATTTACATCATTTGATTGTTTTGCATTATAAATATGTGAAATGAAATGCATTTAATTTAAATAATAATAACAAGAATGAAATGGTACATTCAATAAAGAATAAGTGATAATTAAACAATGAATTGAATAAATATAACATTTTTGAATAAGAAACAAATAACAGTAAATAAGATAATTTTGATAATGATGTATTTATATCAAATGATAAAACAAATGAACTAATAAATAAAGAAGAAGTTAAAATAGAAATTGAAGAAAAAGAAATGAAGAAGAAACAAATTATAAAATGTCAAAGATATATTGAATGATAAATATTTGTTAATTAGTTGAAGTGATTGACACAAAGGAGATAAAAATGAATAAAATGATGATATTATCAGAAAGATAGAGAAGAAATAATAATATACACAAAGAAAATAAAGAGATGTAAAGAAGAAAAAGAAATCCATTCATCACAATCAATTCAAAAACTAGAAAAATTGACAAATAGAATAATCAATATAATATTTGATTCAAATAATGATGAATTGAATGTTAATACATCAATATTCAAACAAAGAATAAAGAAAGAATAATAATGAAAATGAATGAAATGATAATTCTATAAATGATACTGATGATAATATTTATAAATGATTCAAATATATTT